AATAAGGTCCTGTTCACCTTTAGTTGTACTTCAATGGCATGATGGTTCATTTGCCAAAAGTTTAAGGACTCTGATCTGAATTAGGTGAGATGTTTCCTGGATATTAAATTAGATGTTACATGAGATGATACATGTGAAGCACAGCGCACGGCACAAGTAGACATACTAGCTATGGTTACCATGTCATCACCACCACCAAAATCATCATCATCATCATTATCAGCATTAAAGAGGCGTCTTGTTGGATGTACAGCAGTAGAGCATAGAGGTCAGAGAGCATAGGATTTAAGAGTTCAACTGTGCCTGAGTTTGTACCCTGTTTCCACCACCGGATGGACCCACAGGATCCATTCTTGACTGTTGGTCTTTAAAAGGTATCTTAATGATTTGAATCTAATTTTCCTAATCTGTAAAACAAAGATGTATTCGTTTTACAAGATGGATGGATTTCTCTGTGCCAAGAATCATTCTGGGTACCTGAGATCCACAATGAATAAAACAAAAATCCCCACCCTCATGGGGTTTACACTGTCAAAATAAAATCTAGCAGAACAAATAAAATAGCTCAAAAAATTTGACAGTGACAAGTGCCATGACTGAGAGAGAAGGCAGGATGCAGATGGGGAGTGGACAGGACTGCACTGTAAGTAGGGTGGCCAGGCACAGGCATGGCAAGAAGGGGAGGTTTGTGTGAAGACCTGAAAGTGGAAAGGGAGTGAGCAGAGAGGAGCAAGAACAAGGGCCAGCGTGGGAGCTGAGGGCACAGCACGAAGTCAGAGCAGTGTCCGGACGATCTCGGAGACCTGCTGTACGGTCTTGGACTTTTCTCTGAGTGAAGGCTCATTGGAGGGTTTTACATGAAGGCGTGACTTGACCTTACAGGTTCGTGCTGATGATGTGCTGAGAACAGCTGAATGAGGACCAGGGTGGAAGTGAGGAGGCCACAGTAATAATTCAGCATAGATGGTGAAAGGAAGCCTCATGGCCTGCTTTCCTTCCATCTCACAGAAAATTGTTATTTTATTAGAATTGGCAGCTGCTGGGAAATTATTGTACTTAATGCACAAACTGTGATGCCTACAGTGTGAATGGCAATGCCTTACCTTGTGAAGTGTGCAACCTGCACAACCACATGTGTTGGGAGGAAGAGAGAGAGAATATTAAAGTTGACTTTCAGGTTTTTGGTGTAGCAACAAGGATAAAATTTCCATGAGGAAGGTTAGTGGTGGGGGCAGGCAGGAGATCCATTCCGAGCTTGTTAAACGTTAGATGTGTTGCCATTGAGCATAATAATATAACCTGTCTCACATGAATGCTCCGAGGTTTAAGTCAGTGTATGTGAGCAACAAAAGCTGTCAGTAGTTGCTCAGTAAATGCAGGGCCCTATAATTATCAGATACCTTGAATTTCCAACATATACATTTAAGTTTAGAATGTATATATGTAAAATATATGTGTATATATATTATATATTATATATACATATATATATATATATATATGCATCTATGTAGATTTAGGATCATCTTCTAAGTGGTTAGCATTCCAGGCTCGCTATTCCCAAACATAATTCTAAAACTTCAACCCAGACTAATCTATTATCAAATTATAAATAAGGAAGTTGCTATTTTTATACACACACACACACACACACACACGCACAGAGTCTGTCTGTCTATCTATTTTTTGATAAAAGCATGTGAATGTGCATGTCTGGGGGAGTTGTTTGTTTTGCAAAGTCCTCTCTCCTCTTCCCTTGCTGCACATTTGGGCTCTTTGTCCTGATAGGGTAATAATATACAAATAAGTGAGAAACCACTGAAGAACAGAATTGATTATCTTTTAGAATGACTTTCTGTTTCTAATCAGACCCAACAAAGCAAGAATGCTCAAATCTAGGTTGTAAAAATGAAATTACATCTCGGTTTTTATTACCTATGAGACCACTGAAGGAGAGTACTCTGATGTGACTTTTTAAAAATTCCCCTGTCAGCATGTAACTGTTACAATCAAGTGGGGCAGGTTTCTCTCCCACTGACTCTTCTTATTCTCTGGGCCACACCAAGCTAGACCACTAAGAGAGTTTTGGGTAAGGTTAAGACCCTCTTTTGAATGTTCTGAATATCATATTTTTAAAGCAGTTTTATTGAGATATGTAAAAGTCACTCATCTGAAGTTTATAATTCAGTGAATTTCAGTATAGTCACAGAGTTGGACAACTATCACCACAGTCTAATTTTAGACCATCTGTATCATCTCCCGAAGAAATCATGTACTCAGTGGCAGTCACTCCCTATTCCTCATCACTTTCTACATCCAGCACTACCCTAGGCAAATACTAATCTATTTTTTTTTTAATAGTTTTGCCTATTCTGGACATTTCATATAGATGGAATCATACAAAATGTAATCTTTTGTGACTGGCTTCTTTTACTTAGCATGTTTTTGAGATTTATCTATGCTGTAGCATATATAAGCACTTCATGTGTTTCTATGGCCAAATAATATTCTACTCTATAGAAACACTATATTTTGTTTATCGATTCATCAGTGATGGACATTTGGGTTGTTTCCACTTTGGAGCTGTTATGAATAGCCTGCTGCTATAAACATTCATATATAAGTTTTTGTAAAGACTTAACATATTTTTATTTTTCTGGAGTGTATACCTAGGAGTATATATGATGGGTTATGAGGTAACTTTATATTGAACTTTCGGAGAAACTGTCAAACTTTTTTTCACAGTGGCTACACCATTTTTACTCCCACCAGCAATGCATAGGGGTTCCAATGTCTCCACGTCCTCCCCAATACTTGTTGTTTCCATCTTTCTTATTACAGCCATCCTGGTGTGGGGGAAGTCATACCTGCTTGTGACTTTAACTAGCATTTCCCTAATGACAAATGATGTTGAGCATGTTATCATGTGGCATACGGGCCACTTTGTATGTCTCCACTGGGGAAATGTCTCTTCTTTGTCCATTTTTAGAGTGAGTTCTCTTTTTATTATTGATTTTTAAAGTTTTTTGTATTTCTTTTTTTTTTCCAGAGCAGTTAAAGACTTTATTAGCAACACAAAGGCACACCTTCAAGAGCTGAAGGTAGGCTTATTCAAAGACAGATAGCCCAGCCTCAGTATCTCTTAATCTCCCTTTTACATTGTCCATTGCTTTGTGTGTGTATATGCTGCACTCTGGGTAATTTTTTCACATCTGTCTTCTACTTCAGTAACTCTCTCTTCAGTCATGTCTAATGTGCTATTTAAGACACCTAAAAATATGACCAGGTAGATGTTAAGTGATTCAAAAAAGGCTTTTTCATACAAAAAAATAATTGTAATCTAAAACTTAATTTCTAGACCTATTCTGCTTCTTGGTATTAACTTGCCTAAACTTCTCAAAAGTGCATTTAAAATCTGTATATACACTATATGTAAGTTATACCTCAATTTTAAAAAAGATTAAAAGCTTAGACTCAAAACCTGGTTCAAAAACTTAATTGATGATGTAAATAGTGTGAGGTAAAGAGAGTAAAGGCAGAGATTACAGTGTGTTTGAGTCAAGAAAAATAGGCATTCAGTAAATGTTCATTGAAGGATCAATACATGAATGAATAAGTGAATAATTAATGTAACAAGACTAGTTTTCATGTATGGCTTTGCAATACTAGTGTCATTATTTTGTAGTTACATCTCATAGAGTTCTGTAGTTCATATGTCCCTTGGCTGCTATTGGTGACTAACATCATTGTCTGGTAGAATGTTCTGTGTTCTTGCAATGTAGAAAGAACTTCCAGGCTGCAAGAATTGTGAAACAACACTGTTGTAACCAAATAAACTCAGATGATTTTCTTTCCTGATTTCTCAAATATCCGTATTTGAGAACATGACTTTCTCTGTGCTCAAGTACTATTTTACAGGACAGTATCATTCAGTCATGTAGTTTTTATGCCTTTCTGGCCAACAGAAGTCAATGTGGAGGCAACTGGTAGACCTAACTTTGAGGCATTGTTCTAAAAATGTGCTCTCAGAATATGGCTATTCCCCTGGCAGGTTCACAGGGACAAGCAAAGAGATTTTGGTTCAATGTACATTTCACAAATTTGAAATAAAAGATTAATTGTGATTTTCACAGAAAAGCTATTATAGTCTTAACAACCAGCTCATTATTAAAACTTGCATTATGCTTTATCAGAGGAGTCAGCTCAAATCTAACATTATGACTCATTTTATTATTTCTCTAATTGATAAAAATGGACCACGGACTAAAATTCTAGGATTTCTAAAATTTAAATAATGATAAAATGATCCCGAATAGCCAAAACAATCTTGAGAAAGGAGAACAGAGCTGGAGGAATCATGCTCCCTGACTTCAGACTTACTACAAAGCTACAGTCATCAAAACAGTATGGTACTGGAACAAAAATAGATACATAGATCAATGGAACGGAATACAGAGCCCAGAATAAGCTCATGCACTTATGGTCAATGACTCTACCACAAAGGAGGCAAGAATATACAATGGAGAAAAGCCTCTTCAATAAATGGTGCTGGCAAAACGTTATGGTAACTAACAGAGGAAAAAATGTGACAATGAGTGTGTATATGTCCATGTATGACTGAAAAATTGTGCTGAACACTGGAATTTGACACAACATTGTAAAATGATTATAAATCAATAAAAAATGTTAAAAAAATAAAAATAAATGGTGCTGGGAAAACTGGAAAGCTACATGTAAAAGAATGAAATTAGAACATTTTCTAACACCACAAAATAAACTCAAAATGGATTAAAGATCTAAATGTAAGGCTGGAAACCATAAAACTCTTAGAAGAAAACATAGGGATAACACTCTTTGACATAAAAATAATAGCAATATCTTTTTCCATCTGTCTCCTAAAGCAAAGGAAATAAAAACAAAAATAAACAAATGGGATCTAATTAAACCTAAAAGCTTTGCACAGCAAAGGAAACCATCAACAAAACAAAAAGACAACATACTGAATGGGAGAAAAGACTTGCAAATGATATGACCAATAAGGGGTTAATTTCCAAAATACATAAACAGCTCATACAGCTTAACATCAAAATACAAAAGCCAATTAAAAAATGGGGACCTGAACGGACATTTTTCCAAAGAGGACATGAAGATAGACAACAGGCAAGTGAAAATATGCTCAACATCGTTAATCATCAGGGAAATACAAATCAAAACCACAATGAGATACCATCTCACAGCTGTCAGAATGGCTATCATCAAAAAGAACACAAATAACAAACGTTGGTGAGGATGTGGAGAGAAGGAAGCCCTCATACACTGTTGATGGGAAAGTAAATTGGTGTAGCCACTGTGGAAAACAGTATGGAGGTTTCTCAAAAAACTAAAAATAGAGCTATCATATGACCCAGCAATTCCACTCCTGGGTATATATCTGAAAAAGCAAAAACACTAATTTGAAAAGATACATGCCTCCCAGTGTTCGTAGCAGCATTATTTACAATTGCCAAGATATGGAAGTAACCTAAGTGTTCATCAACAGATGAATGGATAGAGAAGATGTGAGATAGATAGATAGATAGATAGATAGATAGATAGATAGATAGATAGATAGATAATGGAATACTATTGGGTCATAAAAAAGAATGGAATTTTGCCATTTGCAACAAAGTGGATGGACTTTGAGAGTATTTTGCTAAGTAGAACAGACAAAAACAAGTACTATATCATATCACTTATATGTGGAATCTTAAAAAACCCAACAAACTAGTGAATATAACAAAAAAGAAGTAGACTCACAGATATAAGAAAGAAACTATTGGTTACCAGTGGGGAGAGGGAAGGAAAAGGAACAACACAGGAGTAGGGGATTAAGAAGGTACAAACTCTTCTGTATAAAATAAGCTACAAGGATATATTGTACAACATGGGGAATATAGCCAATATTTTATAATAACTGTAAATAGAGTATAATCTTTAAAAATTGTGAATTACTATACTATATGCCTGTAACTTATAAAATATTAAACATCAACTATCCTTCAGTAAAAACTAAAATAAAAATAAAATAATGATAAAATGTATCATAAATATAAGAACTCATAAAAATGTTATAATTGTAAACAGTAATCAGAAACTCAATGTAAATATAGAATGTGAACTTATATGCTCTGGTTTAAGGTGATCTACAAATGAGATAATTTCCCACATGCAGCCTAAAAATAAAATGCAAAATGGAAGTACATTGTGATGAAACATTAAACTGAAATGTACTAGCGTTATAATCCATTTGTCCCTATTCCTTGATACACTGTTTTGAAATTTTGTCGAATAGATGTATCGAAGTCAGCAGAACTTCCTCATAAATTTTAAATAAAGAAGAGTGACCTCTATAGTAAACTAAGGAAGTTTTTCCAGTACAAGCCCTACATAATGCATTTCAAGAGACAACTGATACATTCTGTCACAAAGAGCATACACCAGTATTACTAAAATGTGATTCATAGTTTTATTCCTCATTACAAAATTAGACACAAGTCATACTATTTTTAAGTTTATAAAACTTCTGTAGATAAAAATATAGTGCTTGAGAGGAAACAGAATGAGTTACTAGATAAAACTCCTTTATCAAACGGAGCCATTGGATGTCACATAATGACAATGACATATGATGTCGAAGCACTGTAACAGGTTCATGGGTGTGTGTGTGTGTGTGTTCTTCTCAGTTGGACGGAACCTCTGATATGTTGAGTATGACTCCACACTTGGCACATGGGCTGTCCATCTATGAGGGAGAAGTACGTGATGGTATTTGTTCCACTTATTACTGATACCCATGCTACTATAGAGAAGAGATTTTTCATTACTTGCAAACTCCTATGTGAAAAGGGATGTGGACTGGGAAAGTACATTTGGGTCAGTGTTGACAAGTGGGAACATTCGGGAAAGGACAAAAAGAATTTGCTCCGGATTACCTGACCCCACATTGTTCCACTCATTCATCGGCACTCGATGCTGAATGACTCTTGATCTTGATTTTGAGTTGAAGGAAATAATGGCAACTAAAAATATAATCAAATTATATCCACTAATGGTAAAACTGTCTAGCATGCTGTGTGGAGGGAAAAAAAGTAGGCAGCAACTTTAAAAAGTCCACTTTTCCACACTGTCATAGGAAAAAATGTGAGTGCGAGACCATACACAGAAATTTAATTTTATTCAAAAGTACTCACATGAGACCGTATGCAGAAACATTTCTACATTCATAGCACTATTAATGCCAGGAAGGACTAGGGAGACCATCTAATTTATTGTCTGATCAAGGACAATTTTGAGGATGAAAGGAGGCACTTTTAATGGTTTTATTGGGATAATAGACATAAACTGAAACTGTCCCAGGGACATATGTTATCTTATTAAAAACTATTCCTATGATTTCAAGTGACTTGTTTGAATATTACATGTATAATATTATCAACATATTAAATAGCTAGCATAAAATTATCACTTCAGGGATGAAATATAATGTTAATGTTGAGGATAAGCTATTGAGATTCCTTTAAAAGCCTAAATTACGACATAAATGGTTTGACTGCTCAGTGTTTCAATTTTTTCCAATCCTGGATGATTTTCTTCACTCACTGGAGAAATAAGCTGATTCTACATAATGCGTGTATTTTAAAACTTAAAGAAAATGCTTCAAAAAAAAAAGAGAAGAAGAAGGAGAAGGAGGAGAAGAGGAAGAAATACTTTTGGAAGCTGAACTCATCCAGATGGATTTAATAATCCATCCATCTCTCCCTCCCGAGGTGACACATCCAGCCCCGAGCTTCCAGTTTACCGCCAATGGAGTGGAGAAAGTGCTTTGGTGAGAAGCCTCGCAGAATCTCCCCATAAGTACTAGAAAGATCCACCACACGCTTGCTGACTCTCTCTCAAAGCTTTCATTGCGACAATGTAACGATCTAATAGAACAAAGAAAAATATAGATTGGATATGAAATCTGGACAATGGTTCAAAGCATCTGCAGATCCCTTAGTGAAAGGTAGTAAACAAGTATCATCCTGCTTTCCGATACGAAACCATTAAATAGCGCTAACAGTGATACATTAACATATTATGCTTAAGTTTCACTTTTTAAATTGTGATGAATCTTTTGGAAACGTTTATATTTGTTGGTGATTTTTGTGATTCATACTCAACGTAAATAGTCCACAAATGACAAAAGTTTTAGAAACTTTTAAAAATGATGGTTAAGGCAAAATTAAGGCTTACAGGTCTAAGCTTTAACCAAGGCTTAACCAAGATTGCAAAGAGCTGAGAGGATGGCAGGCCTACAGCTTATCCCCCAAGAATCAACTCAGGTATCATATTTTACAAACATTTGAATCCTGTCTGTGTGCCAGAGTTATAACAATGTACAAAAAGCAGCCCTTGTCCTTAAGAAACTTCAGAGAATCTGTGAAACCTCAGAGGTTTAAGCACTGCACTGCAGAAAAGTTAAGAAGCTCTAAAAACATACCAGAGAACATCCACCAAGACCTAGAGGAATCAAATCAGACAACTGAGATCTGAAGGCTGAAGGGGTGGCAAAGGAGAGCGTTCATTCCTGGCTTCGGCAACATGATTTGCACAAATCTGGGAGGTGAGAAAGAGGACACTATCCTCAAAACTGCAGATATCTCAGCAGGGCAGAGCACCTAACACGAAGAGACAACACTCTGATGAACCTGTTGTGTGACAGTGTAGACAGTGAAGGATATTAGCAGGAGAGTACGTGATTAGATTAGTGCTTTAGAAACAATGTAGTGTGGAAAATGAATTAGAGGGTGGCAGGAAAAGGCAAGACTTGTCAGGTGGCTGCAGAAGCAATGGGATGATTTAAGAGCAGTGATAGCTTATAAAATAAACAACAAGGTCTTACCATATAGTACAGGGAACTATATTCAATTTCTTGTAATAGCATATATTGGAAAAGAATCTGAAAAATATATGTATATGTATAACTGAATCACTTTGCTGTATACCTGAAACTAACATTGTAAATCAACTATACTTCAATTAAATTCTTTTTTAAAGAGCAATGACAGCAATAATTATGGAAACGCAAAGGAAGGGGGAACAGAGGATGAAAGTGAATTCTGACATTTGATTTGGGTCTTGAAGGAAGAGTAGGGGTTTACCAAGTAAGGAAGGGCATTCAAGACACAGCAAAGACAAAGGAAACTAAAAAGAAAAAGACATATTCCTGGATATTCATATATAAATGAAATGAGATATGAAGAGAAAGACGGAGTGGGAACAGGTTGGGGTGCCACTTGGTTTTCTGAGCTGGGGAGTGTCATGCTCAGATCTCTATTTTAGAAAAATGAAAACAGGGCGCAGGAGAGATTTGAAGTTCAAGGAGATATCACCCTACCAAGCCCCTTTACAACAGCACAGCACCTCTGGATTGCCAGAGGAATTCCTTCAATCACAGGAGATCTGACCAGAACGAGGGCACGCTTAGATTTCCATAATGAAATACTTTCAGGATTAGGGAGGGAAATATTCTTCAACATCAGCGACATCTATTCAAGGTGTCCCTCCTGTTTCTTTTCCTTTTCCTCACTGACTAATATGAATCAATCACCTGTCCTGCAGGCTACTTGGTGGAGGTAAACAGAGTGATGGGGAGAAGGTAAAAAACACCAGCTGACTATGCTCCCCAGGCCAGAGTGTTTGACTGACTGACTGCAGGAGTGGAAATACCACTCCTGTCTATTCAAGAGGAGCCCTGGGAATACCTGTTCTTTGTACAAGATGTGGTTTAAAAAAAAAAAAAAGAGTCATCATAGTAATGCAGGGCCAATTTCTTCACAAGGAGCGGGATGAACATGTCACAAAGGGCCATTGTGAGCAAAGTTTCCCTTAATTGGATGGCATAGCTAATTTGCAGCATCCTAGCAGCAAGTAAACTCCACTCCCACACAAACATCAGAAACTTAGTGAGAGGCTGTGAGCTCTGACACAGGCTCAGATCTATGATTGGGTCCACAGAAAAGATGCCACAGGAAATGGTCCCTGGT